TTACCAGCTGCCAGTGTCATTAATAATAAGTGTTATCTCAGTGTTACACAGAGAACCTTTAATGTCATTTTTTTTTGCCGAGATTTAGCTTTTTCATTTTAAATTTATTTGTACTTTTTTATATTTATTTGTCTTTAAAATTGTGTTTGTTTCCTGGACCTTATAAAATATAAATATAAAGTTTTTATTTTAAAGTATGCTTAAGAGTTGTATAGAAAGAAATACAGATTATTTTAAATAAATGCAAATGAAAAAACATGAACAATGAATAATGTACAATATTTAAATGTTTACATCTTGTCATATGGACTTGGTGGCTAACCATTTGAGCTCCTGATATTGATCCACAGTACCATAATACTGCTACTGTTTCTACAATCGACAATAAAAATTATCGTGCCGCTAATAGGGGCACAAAAGAGTAGACACAATCTGCTCACTGTTTTCATTCCTGGTTCATTCCCAGATTTAAAATGTTCAGTGCAGTATCACTTCAGTGTTTCATTCGTTTGGTTTTTGTAGGGTTGCCTTATAGTCAATCTTTTGTGCTCTTTAGTTTGTCCACATAAACATTCTCCCCCCCTCGCTCTCTCTCTCTCTCTCTCTCTCTCTCTCTCCACCCTCTCATAGAAAATTAATGAGCACAAACACAAGCACACACCCCTCTCTGGAGGCTGGTCTGTCCTCAGCCCTTCCTGCTTGTTGGTTGCAGCTGTAGCCTGCGTTGCCATGACGTCACGCTGATCGATCCTGGTCCCAGTGCAGTGGGAAAGCACAGAGACAGAAAAAGGCAGCTGAGTGAAACAGGCTGGCAGAGAGTGCGAGGATAAGGTGGGAGGGAACAGGGGGGAGGAGGAGGAGAGAAGAGAGGGCAGTGTGAAGCCACACCGATATTCCATGGAGGGCGGGACACTGAGGCAGACACACACAAGCAGCTACTACAGAAATAGTCACCGTACAGCACCGTGCAGGTCAAATATTTTGTGTAGTGGTGTGGTATTATAGCGTGCGTGTGTGTTTTTCTCAACATGGGTTATCACTTGACGCACACCTGCACATTATTCTCTCCGCGACCAAATAATTAATGTCATTCACGACTGGGCAGGCTCGGCACACTGCATTGACATAAGGTAGGGTGAAGGGGAGGGGTGTGTGTGTGTGTGTATATTTACCACATTTGTGTATCTTTTGTATTTACTCTGTACATGCCTGCTTACATTTTCAGTGCCTCTATTTAAATGTGTAAACATGTATGGGTATTTAGTGTATGCACCCAGTTGTTTGTCAAGCAACCGAGGTTACTAATGTAAGCGTCCTCTTGAGCCATCGTGTCAGGAGATTCAGGCTGTAAGCCATGTGACTCCACAAAGAGCTGCAGGGATTGGCTGAGGCCATCTGTGACCTCAGCATACTGCCTCTGTCCCTCCTCAACACTGCCACCCCCCCCNGACTGGTGACCTGTCCAGGTGTCCCCTGCCTTCACCCTGAGTCAGCTGGGATAGAATCCAGCCCCCCACGACCCTTGTGAGGATTAAGCGGCGTATAGATGATGGATGAATGGATGTATCTGACTAAGTTTTGATTGTTATATAATTTGTCATTTGTTAGTCACGGCTATAGTAAATTACATTAATTTTGTAATATCCTGAAAATAATGGAGAAATTACACTTTTTACAAGGAAGGAAAACACCCAGATTGATGCCTTGTTAGAAACCGAAGCTAAAGCACAATTTTCTTGATATCTTTCCATATAGATTTTTCCCAACTTTAGTGAAACTCATTAAGTTATTTGGGGGGGAAAATGACAGTAAACAACCCCCCCAGTTAATAATTTAAAGGACTGTCAAATTTTCTTCTGTCTAAGTGTTACATTTGCAAATAAAGGGAAAATGTGTAAGGACAGATGAACATAGACCACGTAGGCCCTTTCAGATATGCACCCCTTCCAATAATTCGACAAATCTGAATGTGTTGACTTCATGTGTGAGTGAGCCCTCTGGTCTCTTTATGTAGAAGCTGCAATTGCAGTCTTACGAGGCTGGGCCTAGCATTTTTACACAATACATGATAAACACGATCAGGATTGTCGTCAACACAACAGTCCAGGAAGTGACACTGTGAAAACTGACCTAATCACATATATGGGGGTAAAATAATGCTCTTGCTTGTCTGTATTTCTTTAAACCAATGTCCCCTCAAAATAGTGACAGGGGAATTGTTTTGGTGAATTTTGCATTAAAATGGATACTTCACAATCTAAATTTTGATCAAAAATGTGTACTTTTTAGTGTGGTATGTTGCTGGTTGGTGTAGGTTGTTGTTGTTTCCCGTAGTGAAGGTAGGTGGATGGATGGATGGATTTTAAGATCCTGAAGAAAATAAAGTAAAAAACATTCTCTAAAAAATGATCTCTCATTATTCTGGTATATAGCAAATAGAAATAATTTTGTTAATCCTAAAACAGGAAAAGTTTTGTCTGATTTAATGTCAGACAGTGAGGAAAAAAAGGTTATGTGTCTTTTTGTACAGTTTACATAAACTTCTGGGTTCAACCGTAGATAGATAGTGGAAGGGGAGGAGATAGCAGTGTGAAATTGCAGGCATATACCCGCAATCTACATCCAGTGAGTCAGATAAATGTTGTGGATATTCTGAATAGCGTAAAGAGGAAGATTATTGTTAAAGTAGCTTATTTATGCATTAAACAATGTTGTCACCATCAGATTGATAAAGCCAGTACTGTTTTCTATGCCTTGTCTCCAAGGGCATATGTGACATTTCCATTCTTATGTTAAACATTAACGGTGCTGTTGTTGTTAAGCAATTTGCATGTGTTTATGGTTTTTTTTGTTGCAAATCTGTGAACAAATAGTAATGCAACTTAAAAATGAGACTTTCCCCAAATTTGTGAGTTTCCTTTAACAGCTTGTGGACTGATTTCTATGTAAAGAACACAGGAGACATTTTCCCAGGAAAACCCTGCTTTGTTCTTCTTCATTTCCTGAAACACACTACATGTAAACACAAAAAAATGAAGCTCATCCTGCCAAACAACAATTTCACTGACGTCAGAGGGGAATGCTATAGGGTCAACAGGGGCAGAGCATTTGAGGGATAAAGTAGGGGGAACAAATGTGACGTTCTTCTAACCTTAGTCTGACATGACCAGACTCATCTTCACACTTGGCTTTATGTTACACCTGCACTGTAGAGTCACTTGTTGCCTGTAGCCTCAAATGTATATATTTTTAACTATATGTCACTTCACAGAATGCTCACTTGTACCTGTCTTTGGCGTGCAAGCACATGCCTGATATTGAGCAAAAGTATGCAAACTGCACTTCACTTACCAGCTGCCAGTGTCATTAATAATAAGTGTTATCTCAGTGTTACACAGAGAACCTTTAATGTCATTTTTTTTTGCCGAGATTTAGCTTTTTCATTTTAAATTTATTTGTACTTTTTTATATTTATTTGTCTTTAAAATTGTGTTTGTTTCCTGGACCTTATAAAATATAAATATAAAGTTTTTATTTTAAAGTATGCTTAAGAGTTGTATAGAAAGAAATACAGATTATTTTAAATAAATGCAAATGAAAAAACATGAACAATGAATAATGTACAATATTTAAATGTTTACATCTTGTCATATGGACTTGGTGGCTAACCATTTGAGCTCCTGATATTGATCCACAGTACCATAATACTGCTACTGTTTCTACAATCGACAATAAAAATTATCGTGCCGCTAATAGGGGCACAAAAGAGTAGACACAATCTGCTCACTGTTTTCATTCCTGGTTCATTCCCAGATTTAAAATGTTCAGTGCAGTATCACTTCAGTGTTTCATTCGTTTGGTTTTTGTAGGGTTGCCTTATAGTCAATCTTTTGTGCTCTTTAGTTTGTCCACATAAACATTCTCCCCCCCTCGCTCTCTCTCTCTCTCTCTCTCTCTCTCTCTCCACCCTCTCATAGAAAATTAATGAGCACAAACACAAGCACACACCCCTCTCTGGAGGCTGGTCTGTCCTCAGCCCTTCCTGCTTGTTGGTTGCAGCTGTAGCCTGCGTTGCCATGACGTCACGCTGATCGATCCTGGTCCCAGTGCAGTGGGAAAGCACAGAGACAGAAAAAGGCAGCTGAGTGAAACAGGCTGGCAGAGAGTGCGAGGATAAGGTGGGAGGGAACAGGGGGGAGGAGGAGGAGAGAAGAGAGGGCAGTGTGAAGCCACACCGATATTCCATGGAGGGCGGGACACTGAGGCAGACACACACAAGCAGCTACTACAGAAATAGTCACCGTACAGCACCGTGCAGGTCAAATATATTGTGTAGTGGTGTGGTATTATAGCGTGCGTGTGTGTTTTTCTCAACATGGGTTATCACTTGACGCACACCTGCACATTATTCTCTCCGCGACCAAATAATTAATGTCATTCACGACTGGGCAGGCTCGGCACACTGCATTGACATAAGGTAGGGTGAAGGGGAGGGGTGTGTGTGTGTGTGTATATTTACCACATTTGTGTATCTTTTGTATTTACTCTGTACATGCCTGCTTACATTTTCAGTGCCTCTATTTAAATGTGTAAACATGTATGGGTATTTAGTGTATGCACCCAGTTGTTTGTCAAGCAACCGAGGTTACTAATGTAAGCGTCCTCTTGAGCCATCGTGTCAGGAGATTCAGGCTGTAAGCCATGTGACTCCACAAAGAGCTGCAGGGATTGGCTGAGGCCATCTGTGACCTCAGCATACTGCCTCTGTCCCTCCTCAACACTGCCACCCCCCCCCTCCCAAACACACACACAGCCCTCCCTCCCTCTCAGTCTCTCTCGCTCCCTCTCACCCTCCCCTCTCCCTACCCTGCCTCTTTTTTTTTTTTTTTTTTCCTTCAGTTAGCTTTTTCCCCACCTCTCAGCATCCTCGGCTGTGTGTAGGTCAGAGCCGCAGTAGCAGCAGCAGTAGGAGTAGCAGCAGCATCCATGGCTTAAGCCCGAGTTCTGATCGACAGCTAGCCTGGCCCCTACCCCTCCTCTTTCCTCTCTCTCTTTTTCTGTCTCTCTCTCTGTATATATCTCTCCTAGGCCAGTTGACAGGCAACGTCTGGGGGTGTTGGAGGCTCACAGTTAGCCAGGGCGTTAGCCACAGGCACACAGCTGCTCCGCTGCCCATCAATTCTACTGTATATCTGTAACCGGGGGCTTCTTCTCTTCTCCCCCTCCCTACACCTCCTGCTTTCATTTCAGGCTCCTTGGAGATAGAGGAATGCAAATCTGCAACCATGATGGAAGGTAAGAATTTTTTTTTTCTTCCTGTTGTCAAATCAGGGTAATCCTCCTTTATGTCCCTGTCCTACAGTGCTTCAGCTTGCTGGCAAGTGTGTATATCAGTGTTTATATTTGGGAGGTTCAAATGTCATAAGCGGCCCTTCTATTTTGAGTGAATGCATTTCGGTGACTTGCATGTTATTCTTAGGAAAAGGGCACCGCCACTGAATGTCTACCACAGAGGCACAATGGCGAGGCTAATTGAAGCGTGTGTACCTTTGTGAGTGTGTGTGTGTGTGCATATGTCTGAGTGCCCCCCCCACCCCCCTTTTCCCGCTTCCCATCGTAAAGGATTATTTGGATTTATTGTGCAGGAGAGCTTATGTGCCCAGCTGGCTCACTTGTATAAATTCTCTTTGTATGGTGTGTTCTGAAACACAGGCACACGCTCAGTGTGCTGTATGACTGTGCTGCGTGCTCACACTACATTGCTATTTCACCCAGCACTCGCATGTGGATTGCATGTCTATATGGGGGAGTGCATGCGTACATTTGCACCCACCCATAGCTGGATGGATCCATTTCCAAGTGTAATAATGAAAATGAGAATTGATGATTGTTTTAGTATCATGTCCCTTTAATTGATGACATCACCAGGGGCAGGCCAGTAATATAGGGATGAATCGTTACAGCTCTGCAGCTGGTACTCGAAACCCTTCATCCTTCTGTGTCTTTCATTTTATATACGTTGTTCAAATATTCTATACTGAATGACTAGTTTTCATTTGTAGCGGATAAACCTACCATTTCAACTTGTTTTTAATCAACCTTGAATTATGTAAGATTTCATAGGTGACATTTTAAAGCCACAAATATGAAAAATGGAAAAGATTATAGTTATTGCTGACTGTCTGTCATTAACTGCCTCTCCTAGACGCAAGATGATGTTCAAGCCTGTTTATTCCAGTGCATTTAGTAAATATGGTCGATGCCAGGGTGTCTGCTGCAAAGACAGTCTTATTAGCATGTTGTCTGGTTGTGAGTGTGTTTGTTTGACTAGTAAGTATTTGAAAATTAGTGGACATTATTTGTGTTTGTAAATGTGTTGCACAAAAGTAGGTAGACAGAATTTTCAGTGACAGGTTTCCAATATGTTGTATTTTGTATTTTTCTGTGCTGTTTATCAGCTATATTTAATTCACAATCCAAATACCCTTTTTTCTGGTGTGAATATTCAGCTTCAGCTAACTTACAGCTACGTTTACAAAGGTGGCACTAGAAATATTGTGAACTGAACTGAACTGAAATGGACATTTGACAACAATGGCAACGTACATCTGTTGGACTGAATGAGGACGTTAATGCAGGAATTTTGCCGACACCTGGTGTGCTGATATTTTTCAACTCATTTTGGTTGTCGATACAGCTTTATGCCAATATTTTGTCCACCTAGTGACAGAATAGATGAGAACTCTCCTGTTGTGGAATTAACATATTATTCTGCCTCCTTTTATCGTAATGGCCCACTGGCAGATGTAAACATAAAATGTAATGCTTTCATATGTGCATCTTTACTAAGCAAAGATTTATAAAAGGGAAAAAAGCAACTGTACCTTACAGGTATGATATGCCATCTTTATTTTTTCCCTAAAATTTTCAAACAAAACTGTAAACTGTTAACGTTGCAGGCCTTATCAGCCTGCAGTTTGAACCAATGTCAATATTTCATTTTAAAGCCTTTGCTAGCAAATACCAATGATGGTCGATGATAATGATCGCCGTACATCCCAACTGTTGAAAAGATTCGTTTTCAGGTTATTGATTATAGGAGGCCATCACTTAGATATTTCCATCCAATGCTCTATGATCACCAGCCTGCTGTGTGATGTCAGTGTACTGTAGATTTGAAACTGAATCAGCTTAAACTTAATCAGCCAAACTATCTGGTAAGACAGCATTGGCTTCTCTTGAAGGGTTTGATAACAGTGAATTGTCATAGTACTGTATCATCAAAAGGATAAAGCTGGCCCGACAGCAAAGAGCAGGTTGTCATTACAGCTATCATCACTAGCATCACTGATTTATAAGACATCATTATACAAACTATGACTGTCTCAGTAGGTTATGAGTTACAGTGCACTCAATGTGTTCAGAATTTGTTTGGTCTTGCTGTGACTCTTTTCACTTTGTTATGATGGGATTTTGAATGTAGTTTGATAAAGAGGAAAATCTTTGTGAATGATTTTATGTAACAGAACAGTTAAAATCGGTATTTGATGAGTATTAGAGTTTGGTTTTAGTGATCATTGTCCAGTAGCTTGTATGCGAAGCCCTATGATAAAAAGGTCATACCCACATACCCCCACACCCACATAGGGTGATTAGGCAAAGTTTTACGCATTTTGATGTGCAAACATTCTTAACTTGTATTTTTGCACGTCATGATGTTGTATATATCCCAGATATTGAACTACTTGTGGACAATGTTTCCAAGTCTCCAGCATATATATTTTTAAAAATTGTAGAACACACAATAGATTAAGTCCCTGATTCTTAACAGAAATTTCAAACAAGAAACAAAATCTGTGCTTTTGCCACGTGTAACTCAAGTGGATGGCTTGCTTTTAGGCAACCTATAAATAAATGCATCTCCACAATATGAAGCGCTAAATTTTAAATCCAGCAAAATTGGGGAAGACAGAAGTCCTTTCTCTCCTGTCCTTCTCTGGCCACATCTGATGGGTGTTCAATATTGGAATATAAAACGATCTGTGTAGCTTTAAATGGCAATTTTGTAGCTGCTGATAACTTGTTTGATAAAACCACTGTTTTCCACTGCATTTTTTTGTTGTTGTTGTTGTTGTTTAGTTTTGGGGGATTTTTCCGCTAGTGATGTGGCCAATTCATTACTTGCTGTAGATTCTAAGAGTTCACTTAGCGCAGATAGTCTCAGTCCCTTCTTTTTAAAATTGTCTGTGTTTTTAACCTTTCATCTCTCCCTGGTACATTTCCTGAAGTCTGTAAGGCCACTTATGTGACCCCTTTGTATAAAAGCTGTGGGACATCTGACCTCAGTAATACCAGGCCTTACATCAAATAATAATTTCTAACAAAAATACTAGAATTTCTTGCAAATAATCAGCTTCATAATTTCAACATACTCTATTTTAAGGATCTAGTTTGAAATGGCTTTGGATAAAAAAAAAGTGACACTGTGCTGCTCCTGTTGTTGATCTGTCTAATGCATGTCTTGATCATACATGAGTTAATCACATTTTGTCACAGTGTTGGAACTGATGAAATGACTTTATTAATAATTGGTTTCAGAGTTGCGTCATGGTCAGACAGCAGTATGTGGAAAAGTTAGATCTGAATTTGAGCAAATTGCAATTAATGTCCCTCAAAGATCAATGTTGGGGCCTGTTCACTATTTGTATCATGGTGTCTTAAAACTGGGTATAAAGTGCATCTTTATGCTGATGATACCATTTTGTACTGTAGTGAGGATCCTGTACATTCTGCTGTTAAATACCGTCAGCGCTGCTTTGCATCTTTGCACATTACATTGAATAACCATAAATTAGTTTTGCGCTGCTTTGCATCTTTGCACGTTACACTGAATAACCATAAATTAGTTCTTAATGTGGATAAAGCTACGTATAGCAGTTTCGCCATTGTCAAAATATTGATTATGATAATATTTCTGCTGTGAATGGCCCAAATATTTTAAGAGTCATAAAGTAAAAGTATCTTGCAATTTGGATTGATGAGAAGGTGATTTTTAATTATCATGTGACTATGTTTGTGAGCAATTGGTGCTTTTGGAGGCAACTTTTTGATAGATACGTGCAGTAATGAGGCTTTTCAAACAACAGAGACCCTAATTTGATGCTCTGTCTCCAGAAAAGAGAACTGGTGCTGCAGTTAGTATGTATTGTACTGGGTGGTTGATTCTGTAATTCCCGAACAGAACTGGTGTGCAAGTGAGAACCAAACCAATTCTCTGTAGATTGAAAAGAATTATGTGTGATAATTAAGTGTTATAAGTGTTAAAATGCTCACCATTGGGAGCTGTACTCAAAAGTTGGGTGGCCAACCTTTTCTGTAAGGTGTGATAGACAAAGATTTATTTATTTATAAAGCCCTTCCTGTTTTTTTTTACCCCTTTACATTACCTTATTGCTCTCTTTAATGTTGACTTATATCGATTACACTCAAATGATTGGATTACATTACAGGTGCCGGATGTTTTTACTGAGCCTGGAAAATCCAGTTTTACTCAGCGTGCACCTGCAACCTAGAACACCTTGCAGAGCAAAGCTTGACCTATTTTTGTAATTTAAGTTTTGAATTTTACCTTATTTAACTACAGCTATTCTTGTATTAGTGGACCTCTCTGTTTTCGATTGTATTTGCTTTATTTACATGTAAATAAAACAATTAAATCTCTTTTCGTCTTGCAGGCCACTGCAGTGTAACTCGATACCATTATATGGCAGTGCTGAACCATGATATAAAGTCACAATAGTTGAGTTTCTCAGAAATAGTACATTCACAGGACTGATCATTTTGACAATACATAGTTTTTTTTCAATACAGAAATCTTCAACATTATCTCTAGACTGGAAAATAATGACCTAATTCATTACTACTCCTCCTGTGCAAGAGTGCTGCCCTGTCATCAACTGCATTTGTCATGAGCCAAGTTGTTAGGTAACAGTTGCAAGGAAAAAATAGGCTGTCTGCTAACACCTTCCCTTCCATTAGCATGGCTAGCACAGGCTTAGTGTGGACTCTGTGAGGGCAGGATTACAGTCAGGTGTTAAAATTGGATGCTAATCCTTGTTAGCTCTGCTTTTTAAAGCCCAGTGCCATGGCCAGCATGATTGTCCCTGAGTAACATAGGGCAGAAGTTGTGGGGTAGTTACTTAATCATAATTCAGGGTCAGCAAAGAGGACCCTGAATAGCTTGTTTTCATATTAATGATGGCGCATCCATTGCCTCTAGACACAATACAGAGAAT